CAGGACTGGCAAAGGAGGCTGAGCGGGGCCTTTCGAGTACCTGTGAGCCGCCCGACCTCCACGACCGACCGACGACTGAGCCCACGATCTCCACTTCTTTCGGCCTTCCGCTGTCTCCTGCTGAACTCTACTGTCTACAACACGCTGGATGGCATTCACTAAGCCCCCACGACTGGGACCCTCTAGGCCCTGAAAAAGTTCATCCACCGACAGTCGCGCTAGCAGAGGTTCCTCAACCTCCTCCAGCAGGTCTTGCAGCGGCCTGGCCGAATCTGGCAGGCGCCTCCGTCGGACGTCAGTCGCCGCCTTCAGATACTGCAGGGTCAAACGCCTCAAAGGCAACCAACGTTGGGTACCAGGGAGGGAGCGCCTGTGCAGCTCCTGACCCCACGATGCTTCTAGCGGCACTAACTGAACCTGGCGACCCTTGGCTCGGCCAACAGACTGCTTGTCGTCTAGCCGATGCATGCGGCCTAGCGCCGACTCCGCAGCATCAAACCACTGTTCCACTGCTGCGTGGGACGAGAGGAAAGCCCAATCAAAGAGGGGCGGCTGCTGGCTAGGATCCCACTGCATGCGCGCCTTCTCCTCCTCATCCTTGGGCAGCGGGAAACTGCGAGGCACCACGCGCTGCCACACTTTGGCCTGTCCAGCCACCTGCCTCAGTTGGAGCACGACTGCAGAAAGCGGCCCGACTGGGGTGTCAGGCTGCTCAACGCACTCCTTAACATGATATTCTAAACAGCGGCTGACTACAAAAAAGTCGTAGCAGTTACTGCGGCACGTCGCTCCTGGGGGCCTGGCCACTGTCGCCCCGAGGTGATCTGCCCATTGGGATGCGATCAGCTGCTCAGCATCAATGTCCCGGTCGCCTCCGATGACAAACGGGCAGCCCGCCGAGGCCACGGCTTCGCTGAGCTCCTCTAAAAAGGTGATGTTGGCGCCAGCGAGCCCAAGCGTGGCGTGGCCGTACACTGAGGCAAAAAGGAAGGGGAAAGACTGGTGCACCATGATCTTGACCATGCAGAGCCTCTCCGACCAGCAGCTCTGCCCGTGGCCGTTGCTGCCGAAATGTGCCTCACATGGGATGGCCGCCCCTCCAGACGTCTCACGGCGCCCTGCTCCCGTCCGCGCCGCCTCCGCGAACCATGACATGTATCTAGCTTTGTGACACCAACTGCGAGCCGCTTTGATCTGCTCGTGCTCCAATCTATGTTCCTGAAAAAGTAGGGCGTCATACACAGTCTCTTTCTCATTCCGAGCCCATTCCATGTGACTCTGAGCCGTAGACCACGAGTTGCTGTTGACGCTGACCAGCTGGAAATCCCATTTCTGAAGTGCGTGTGTGGAGGGCCGCTCCAGCCTGGGGCATCGACCACCTGCGCGTCTGCAGCCCAGGAAGGAGGCTGGGTCTGATCGAAGGCATCGACCACCCGCACGTCTGCGGCATCGATCAAAGACCCGCTGCCGCCCTTTAGGGTCTGCCCTCCAGCGGGCTCCCCAGGGACCACCAGCCCCGAAAAACCAGCGCGCCATCGCCTCCACTGCGGTGAGGGGGCCAGGCCGCTCCACGCTGGGGCATCGACCACCTGCACGTCTGCCGCCCAGGGTGGAGGCTGAGTCTGATCGAAGGCATCGACCATCCTCACGTCTGCGGCTTCGATCTGAGACCCGCTGCCTGCCTTTAGGGTCTGCCCTACCGCGGGCTCCCCAGGGACCCCCAGCCCCGAAACACCAGCGCGCCACCGCCTCTCCTGCGGTGTGGGGGCAAGGCCGCTCCGACTTGGGGCATCGACCATCTGCGCGTCTGCAGCCCAAGGTGGAGGCTGGATCCGATCGAAGGCATCGACCACCCGCACGTCTGCGGCATCGATCAAAGATCCGCTGCCTGCCTTTAGGGTCTGCCCTTCCACGGGCTCCCCAGGGACCACCAGCCCCGAAAAAAACAAGCGCGCCACCGCCTCGCCCGCAATGTGGGGGCCAGGCCGCTCCAACTTGGGGCATCGACCACCTGCGCGTCTGCAGCCCAAGGTGGAGGCGGGATCCGATCGAAAGCATCCATCGACCACGCGCACGTCTGCGGCATCGATCCAGGACCCGCTGCCTGCCTTTAGGGTCTGCCCTCCAACGGGCTCCCCAGGGACCGCCAGCCCCGAAAAATCTGCGCGCCTCCTGCCTGACAGCTGGTCCCTGAAACAATCGTCTCCGTGAACCCTAGAGGCCCGACCCACCGCCTTCGGCCAACTTGGCTCTGGCCGCGTCGACAGCAGCTTGCAGCTCCTGGGTACTGGGAGTGCCGGTTCCCCCTGTGGGTGTCGTGGCCGACCCAGGCCCTGCAGGCTCATCACCAGCAGCGGCAGCACCAGCCGTAGGAGCGGGCACGCTTGGCCGACAAGCGCTTACGCATGTCTCTGGCTTCCGCCCTGAGCCGCTGAATGTTGTCGGCACTGGGCCCGATGGCCGCCACGATAGCCTTCTGGATCTCGGCCGCCATGTTACTCTTGAGGGCAAGCCAGCGCTGCTTGTCCTCGTCTTCGATCTCGAGCTCACTGAGGTCGAGAGCCTCGCCATCCACGATCTCAACGCCATCGAAGCCACTCTCCTCCCCCAGCAGCTGCGATAGGTTGATCTGGGGACCCGTCGACACATGCACCGCCTCAGTCGGAGTCCCCGAACCAGGCGTCGAGCCACGGGCCTTCTGCGACTCGGTCCTGAGCTCTTCTTGCCAGGCCGTCTTGGCCTGCACCGCCCAGACAGCCGCCTCCTGGGTCCGCTGGCTGCACTCCGCCAGCCAGCGCCGCGCCTTATCCTCCTGGTGAACCGCTTGCTCCAAGGCCTTCTCCGCCCTTCTGCACGCCACGCCCTTTGCACTGATGGTCTCTTCCAACAGGGGCTGGCGGGTTGGCTGCGCAGGCTCTGGCGGAACCACCGCTTGGACCAGGGCCTGCAGCTCCTGCTCCCCTGCGTCCGCCTTGACATGCTGCTTGAGCTGCGTGAGGAGCTCCGCCACCGTCGGCTGCTTGCCCGCCCCTCGCTGCGGTGGGGCCGAGACCCGCGGTGCCTCCAGGCGGCTGGGGGCCCAGGTCCCTGGCGGGTGTGCGGGCCCTTGCTGGCCACCTCCCTCCCCGCCTGGCGACCAAACCCCTTTGGCCTGGCGCCACGGCGGCGGTGGCGCGGGGACCAGCGCATTGCCACAGGAAAAGCAGTGCTCTCGCGTCTTCCAGTTCCAGCGGTAGCGGCAACTTGAGCAAGAAAGGTAGCCCTTGGCGGCATCCTTGCCCATGGGCTCCTCCAGGAGCTCACCAGGAAAGGGGAGATGTTGCGCCCTTCAGGCACAGGGTACAATCGCGGAGTGGTGGCCGTGAGGCCTCGTGTGAAAACAGTCTGGACGCTGGCCCAGGGATCGCAGCAAGTGGGGGCGCACCTCCCCCTTGCCAAACCTCAAGTCACTGAGCCTCCCGCTACGGACTTGAGCCAAAATGGCTACGGAGGAGCAGGAGGAGGAGGAGGAGGAGGAGGAGGAGGAGGAGGAGGAGGAGGAGGAGGAGCAGGAGGGATGAGGAGGAGGAGGAGCAGGAGGGATGAGGAGGAGGAGGAGGAGGAGGAGGAGGAGGAGGAGGAGGACGAGGGCAGCCGGGGCGCGGCGAGCACCGAGAGAGCGAGCGAGAGAGGCCCCTTTCTTCGGGGGCATGGGGGGGCCGACCGTGGCCGACGCCGGGCAGGAGGCCTCCGCGCCCGGAGAGGCGGGCCACGAGGCAGATCGAGAGCTGGCCCGACGCGGTCCCATAGGAGCAAGGAAAGGCGACACCAACACCAACAGGGCGAGGAGATGCGCGGAGGCAACGGGGGGTCTCCCTGGTGGTGTGGTCCCCCCCTCTCGCTCGAGACATCCCGAGTCTCCCGCTCGGGGAAGCATTGTGGACATCCTCGCTGGAGGTGGGCCCCCTGGTGGTGTTGGTGTCGCTTCTCCTCCCTCCGAGTCCCAGACACGCTCGCGTCGTGTAAAGCAGAATCAGGGCGGGAGGTTGTTGGCTGCGTTCGGCACCGGGGGGCCCTCGCCGGGCCCCGGGGCCGTCGAGAAACGACTCGGCACGAAACGCCGGCCCTGGGGAAAGGGTCGGGGCTTTCGGGAACGCCGCCCTGAAGAACATCAGGACGTCGCATCTCTGGGGTGGTTCGGCACGCCTCTCGGAGGAGGGTTCTGTGGCAACTCATATGGGAGCCTCCTCTACCACCTGGTTGGCTTTGACGCAGCTCGACGCGAAATCTACGCTAAATCAACGCTCATCGACGCCAATCGGGGCTGGTCGACGCGGTAGCAGGGGAGGGGCGGGATGGGGGATGGGGCGGGGGAGAGGGGGGGAGGCGGGGACGTGAGGGGAGGGAGGAGGGGATGGAGGAGAAAGAGGGAGGAGAGGGGAGGGTAGGGGAGGAAGCAGGGGGGGGGAGAGAGGGAAGGAGGAGTGGGGGTGCGGATGGAGAAGGGAGGAGAAGGTGCACGAGGAGGGATGACCAGTGGGAAGAGGAACAGATCAATGATCAGGAGTGGCAAGAGCAGGACGAGGCGCCTCGGCGCTCACAGGAGCACTGACGGTGCAACAAATCACCGATCAATTAATATGCGGCTGGAAACGTACCACTCATCCATTGACTCCCGACGAAGCAGCTTTGTGCGCCAAAACCTTCGATGTTGAACTGGGCCATGGTTGCCTCCTTGAAACCTGTCTCTCGTCCTGCTGGCTCCCCCGAAGACTAGATGGTGGAACCGGAACCCAAAATCCGCGGACGCAAGAATGGTCATCAGTTATACTTCTGGTAGACGGACCGCACGCCGTCAGGAGGACATGCGGATACAGATGAACACGTAGTTGCGCCTTTCACAATGCTCCTCAATTTCTGCCCCTGGGGAATGTTGACTGGCCAACGGTTCCCGCTCCCGCTCCACACACTTTCCCTACTTGCTCCATTCTTTCCTCCTCCAGCTGCTCCTCCCGAGCAGCCTGTTGGACCTCCTCGTAGCTGAGGTACTGGTTCCCGTTCCCGTCGTCGATCTGGCGGAGCTTCCGCTTCGCAGCCCAGCAATCCTCCAGGAGGGAGAGGAGATGGAGGCGGAAGAGAGAGGAAGAGCCAGGACCCCGGAGGCGAAGGACGAGAGAAGGATGGTTCAATGGCCTGGAGGTCTAGGAGGCTTTCGGGTGCCAGGAGGGAGGAGGGAGGGGGGGCGTGTCGTGGGAAGAGGGGGCTAAAAGAAGAGGAGGAGGCTCTCATCAGCGGTCCTGGATCTGCAGATTGAGGAAGATCTGCCGCAGCCTGGCGCCGTCGAGATAATTCTGACATGTTCTTCATCCTCCTCTTCTTCACCCCAATCCTCACCATGATCATCCTCACCGCCATCATCTTCTTCGCTATCATCGTCATGTTCGTCATCACCACCACCACACTCATGGTCAACACCATCACCATCATCAACACCTTCATCGTAGATGCTTTCGTTCTCCACCTCATTGCCCTATTATTCCTCCGCCCTGCCCTGGCGCCTCCTGTTGGTATGCTCCTCGTGATCATCAACACCGTCAGCATCGTAGATGCCTTCGTTATTATCATATTTCTTTGTACTATTCCTCCGCCCTGACTCCTCCTGATGTTGTGCTCCTCGTGTGTTGTTGCTCCTCCTCTTCTAAATGTCAAATCGTTCTCCGCATGTGCTCCTCGCCGTCTTCCCTTTCTCCTCGCCATTTCCTCGTCTTCACTTCTTATCGTCATATCCTCGCCTTCTCTTCTCCTCGTCGTATCCTTTTCCCCCAACTCGTCCTCATCCCATCGTCCTACGACTCCTCACTGCCCTCCTCAGGGCATTTTAAGCTCTTCAAACTCGTGTTAGACTCTTCCTTCCTTCCCCCTGAACCTGCCGTCACATGCCATCCCGGCACCCCGGGCCTCCTCTGGCGCTCCACGGCTATTCCCCCCCTCCCCGCACTTCGTTCAAGTCGGCCAGCTACGTAAGATGCCATGGCACCCAGAATGGTGGTTGTGGTGGTGGTGGTGGTTGTGGTGGTGTGTGTGTGTGTGTGACCAGCTGCCCCAGAATGCCCACGAAGAGACGGGGAGAGGGGATGTATCACCGACCTGGTGACCCTCTCCTTCCTCCTTCCCTCCCCTGCACACTCCCTTGTCGGCCCCTCCTCTCTGCCTCGCAGCGGCTTATTCCTGTGCTTGCTCGCAACAGAAGGGACTGCGCGAACGGAAGACCGTAACAACGCTTGTGACCCATAGGTGCAATCGGCACGTGTGTGGAGAAGGCGAAGGGCGGCGGGGCGAGTAGAAGAGCAACCAAACTGCATAAGCATAAACTTGTGGAGGTCCACGATGTCTGTCTTGGCCCAGCGCAGATCCGAGAAATCCGCGCGGAACGCCGAGAGCTTATGTTTCTGCCGCGTATATTGTCCTCGAGAGGGGGGCGGATTCAGAATTCGTGGAACCCAATCTCTGAAGCCGTGCAGCACTTTCGGCTCTGCAGGGGGGAATTTTGCGGGAGAAGGGACGGGGCAGCGGGACGGGGCAGCGGGGGACGGGGCAGCGGGGCGGGAGGTCGAGGGGGGACGGAGGGCGGGGAGATCCCCGCTGTGCGCCCTCCCCCTGCCCCTGCTCCCCCCCCCCCCGAGCCTCCCGTCGGGGGAGACGAAAGGGTAGGACAGCAGAGGATTGCAAAAAAACAAAGGATTGCAAAAAACGAAGGATTGCAAAAAAGCGAAGGATTGCAAAAAACAAAAAACAAGGATTGCAAAAAAACCCTGGATTGCAAACAAGGATTGCAAACAAAAACCCTTCGTTGCCTCCTGGCGCCAGGAGGCGCCCGTGCATCGAGGAATGGGCCTGGCGGCGGGGCGGAAACCAGCTGCATGCAGCAGATTTCGCCCCCCCCCCCCCCCCCCCCCCCTACAGGAGGCGCCCATGCATCGAGGAATGGGCCTGGCGGCAGGGCGGAAACGAGCTGCCTGCAGCGCCCCGCCCCCCCCCAGCGATTCCCTATCCTCCCCTTTTCGTCGTCCTGGTCGAACTTCCCCGTCCCCCCCTCCGCCCCCTACGCCCGTGATTCTTTTGTCCACGACGTGGACCCCTTCGGGAGCGGCCAAGAGGGGGGTGTCCAAGAGGAGGGGGTGCAAATCATGACCGGCGGCATGTGCGCGGCCCAGATGGGGGGGCCAGGGACGTAATGAAACAAGAAGAAGCGCCAGGAAATCTGGGGAGATATCATGGTCCCCGCCATGATATCCACCCCCCCCGTCGTCATCACCCCCCTCTTTTCCGCCCCCGAACCCCTGAGGTCTCGACCCAGTCTCCGGGACGGGCCTTCCATCCTCAGTCGCGTTTTGAAGGTCCTGAGGCCCCGCGAGGTCACCCAGAGGCCGAGGCGTCGCAAGTCTTCCGAACCGCGGACCCACGACCGCTCGACTACTTCCCCAGCCTTGGCGCTTCGTCCCGACCCGTTTTTGACGGTCCCAAGGCCCCGTGAGGGTCCCCAGGGGCCGAGAACGGTGCAAAACCGCCGCCTGGATTTCTTCGCGACGCGGGATGTCTGTGCGGTGGCCGCCAGTCTCCGCCTCGACTGCGCGCTTTTGGGCGCCCGAAATGGGTACGGAAAGAATGGGCACAATGCCCAACAACAAATGCTGTCCCAAACCAACAGCGGCCGCTGTTGGGCAGGCGGCCCTCTGTCTCGAATGGACACAGGCCGCGGCGGCGTCGACAGCGAGTCCTGTTCAGAATGAACAGGAGCTGCTGTTGGGCATTGTACCCATTCTTTCCGTACCCATTTCGTTCGTGCCGGTGCCCCTGGCTTTTCGCTCAAGCTTGCAGCCCCTGGGGCCCCCTGGGCCTCGCGGAGAAGTGCTCACGGGGGCTGTGAGGGCCCTCCTGGCAATCCTGGTGGGAACCTTGGGCCAGGGGCACTGCTAGCAACACCCGACCTTGAGGTCGCAAAGTCGTCCGCCGCTTCGTCGTTCCCGGCCCCACCCTCCACCTCTCCCTCGCACCCTCCAGGAGTCAGAGGAGGTCTCGGCATGTCCCTCCTCCTGGAAGGTGCCAGGCGGGCGCTCCTCCCGCTACAGTCTGCCAGTCCGCTACCCCTTTCGTTTCTTGTGCCCCCCCCGCCCAGCGGGTAAGGCTGCTGGGGGAGGGGGGGGAGGGGGGGGGGGGGCAGCGCTTCGTGAAGCACCAAAGCCAGCAGTAACCGAGTAAATAATCCTGAGGAGTAGGAGGAGGAGGAGGAGGAGGAGGAGGGAGGAGGAGGAGGAGGAGAGAAGGAGGAGGGAGGAGGAGGAGGAGGAGGGGGAGGAGGAGGAGGAGGAGGGGGAGGAGGGGGAAGGGGAGGGGGAGGAGGATGAGGAGGAGGAGGAGGAGGAGAAAGAGACCCATTCGGGCGTGCAGAGAGCTGCCCTGCGGGTGCCTTTTTCACGGCCGACTCCGCCCCCCCGGAGCGGCCACGAGGCTGCTCTGTAGGGCGGCGTCCTCTTGAGACCCCAGCCTGCTTTTTGCTCGGCCTGCGGCCGAGGGCGTCTAGGCTTCAGTCGGGCCTTTCCCCCTACAGGGGGAATTGTCGACGAAAAATGGAATTAAAAATACCCCCAGAATAATCATAAAATAGGCCAAAAATAGTCTGGGGACTATCTCCCGGGTATTTTTGTTGCCTTCCTGGGGCATTTGTGGGGTATTGTTATTTTTGTTCGTCGAACATCCTCCTCTAGGGGGACACGCCCGACAGAAGTCTAGGCCTCCAGGCAGCGTGCCAACTGCAAAGATCACAGCAGCTCTCGCCGCCCGGCCGGCTGGCCCTCCGCGGGCGCGGCCCAGCGGCCCGCGGCAGCCACTCACAAGGGATAGATCCACCAGCCTGGAACATACGGCAGATGAAAACAATTACTGAACACTCCCCCTCCCCCCCAAACTCAATGTTGGCACGCGCGGGGGAGACTGCGGTCGAAGTGCATCTCATCAGACCCACCGCCAACTTTGAACATTGGGGGGAGGCGTTGGCGTTGACGGATGAATGTGGCATGTGTTCGCTAATTTGCTCCGAGGCCTGTATCTCTATCCCTATACTGGGCATCTCCTCATCCTGGGCATTTTCCTGGGGTCCAGGGCTCAGGGTGCAATCCACATGGGCTTCTGCGCCTCGAAAACCAGTCCGTCTGATGATTCACGTCTTGCAGATTCGAACCTCGGAAATCCATCGAAACGGCATTTCAAATTGCACCCTTTGCCCTCCACCCAAAGAACATGTTCGGTCATCACGATGCCAATCCTATGGCTTCCCCTATTTTCTGAGGGCGCATCCCTAAGATTGTCATCGCCTTCTTGGCGTGCCAATCTTAGGGATAGGGATAGGTTCGAGGCCAGTAGGATATGTCGACCCCTACCCCGGGCCCCGTGGTGCTGTCGAGTGGACCCGGAACTTCGGGCCCGACCCTGGGAGATACGATGGGGGGGCGCGTCCATTCTCGACAAGGGTGCGCCCGAGTAGACCCTTAATGCGGGATGACGATTGATAAAAAATGGGGGGGAACGATTAAACAAATAGTTCCCTGCTATTTCTGCAGAATTTTCTGACTGGAAGAGAACGGTTTAAAACATAGTTCTCCCGCCCGCGGTCGGTTTTCTCTAATCGTCATCCCAGGCGCCGCCGCGTGAACACGACCCCCGGTCACTTATTAATCGTCATCCTCCATTAGTGGGCCCTGGAAACGACTGGGCCGTTTTTTACCGGTTCCGTTTTGCCGCTTTTGTGGCCGGTTCCGACGCCGTTTTTTACTGGTTCCGTCGCCGTTTTTTACCAGTTCCGGCTCCGGTTCCAATCCTGGAGCCGTTTTTTTTGGCCGTTTCCGGTCGCCGTTCTTTTGCCGCTTCCGCTTTCAAGGGACACTTTTTCGGAAACGGTGGGAAAACGGCCCTGCCGTTTCCGGGGCCCACTAAGAGTAGCCCCCTTGGGGTGTATCCCAGAGCTTCCCCCATTTTCTCAGCGGCCAGATCTTTCGGGCGGACCTCGGGGATGATGGGCCTGCCAACACTGGCGCTGCAGGCGACCGATCTGGACAAGCCTGGGAAGGTCTCTACAGTGACGGTTCAGCAGGGGCCCCGACCCCCCAGCAGGGCCCGGAGCTACACTGCCTCGCCGGCGAGCCGCGACGCCCCCCGCGAGGCGCCGCCCTCGCTGGGCGCGACCTCCGCCTCTGTGCTGGTTCGAGGCGCCAGCTGCCTTGGCCACGGGCCTCTCCGCGGGGCACGTCCTGTGGCTGGGGTCTCGGGGGCGGCTCCGGCCCGTGACCGCGAATTAGCGGGAAGAGAAAGGGCCCCAAAGGCTTCAAGAAGGGCCCCTGGTGGTTTCAAGAAGGGCCCCAAGGGCCCCAAGGACCTCAAGAGGCCCCTCGTGGCTTCAAAAGGGCCTCTTGCGGGCCTCTTTGGGGCCCCCGGTGGCTTCCAAAGGGGCCCTTTAGAGGCCCTTTGGAGGGCCCTGCTCTCCACCCCTGATTCAGGTCACCCCCCGAGGTCTCTCCCCGGAACCACCCGCACAAGCCCTGGCCGGGGTCTCGGGGCGAATCAGTCCGTGGAGGCGCGGGAGGGGCAGCGGGACGGTTGGGCTGCTGAAGTAAAGAGCGCTCCAGAAGCGACGGACCACCCCATCCAAACCCGAAGACACAAATTTCGGTTTGGGGGGGTACGGGTTCCGTATGTGCTTTTTCGTTTCCCGACGCCCCCCTAACTGGAAATGGAGAGCAGACGGGGGCCTTCGGGCCGGGTTTGGTTGGTCTGGTGGGTGGTGACTCGATGGCACCAGAAGAGAGCCTGGAAGCACGAGGAGGGCTAGAGGAACAACCACAGAATGACTTGAGAAACCGCGAGCCCCCTCCGAACCCCAAACAGTCCTCACTTCAGCGTACTGCCAATGTATCGGCCCCTTCCTTTTCCCCTGACCAGGGCGGACCAGGAGACCTCCAAGACGGCCCCACGAGACCTCCGCAGACATGCTCGCGTCGTCATACGAATCAGGACGGAAGGTTTCTGGCCGTTCTCGGTCTCTGGGGGCCTTCGCCGGGTCCCAGGACTGTCAGAAGACAACTCGGGATGAAAAACCAACTCTGGGAAGGGTTCGGGACTTCCGTGGACCCCGTTTTGAAAACATCAGGGCGTCGCATTCCTGGGCCCCCAAGTCCCCCCGCGTCGCGACTTTGTCGCAATGTCGACACCCTGAAGTCTAGTCCAGGGCCCTTCCCACGAACCGGTTTTCGGCACGAGCGGCTTTATAACGGCCCCGGGGCCTGGCGAGGGCCCCCCTCGTGAGGCCGAAAACTGCTGAAACGCTTCGGTCGGGCCTTTACTCGAGCCGCCATTGTCGCCAATACTGGAAATGCTCGGAAAGCCCTCGGCGAGGCGCAACTGCTGGAGAGGATCCCGAAAATGGAAAACCTTCGGGAACTCGCGAAATGCTCGAAAACCTTGTTTCAATTCACGGTGTGAGCATTTCTGGGCCCAAGACGGCCCCCCACAAATCCAGACCGATTCCCTGGGGAACTGATGCGCCCGGGATCTATCTCTGACTGCCGAAATCCAAGAACAACGCCAGCTTGGGAGCACGCCCGGGACCAAGACAACTCCACGGATCACTTCTGGGGCGCGTTCTCATGAAGGGGCCCTGGGACACACAAGTAAATACACACAAATAAAGGGATTCCCCATCTTTTCCCATATTGGTTTTTGTCTTCCCCCCACTTCCCATATAATCCCATATTCTCTGGGGAATCGACGATTTATTGTCTGTTTGCTTTTTCCCCTCCTGATCTCACCCGGAAGTCAGGGGGAATCCTGCCGTGGCGACTGGGGACCTCCAGGATGAGGTACGGCATCGGTACTTCCTCCTGCCCGAACTTGGAGGCCTTGGAAGCCCAAGTGCGAATGCTGCCTCTGTCTCTCGCGATGCCACCCATGACCAGCCACGCCAGCCCCATGATCATGGGTGTTATCGCGAGAGCGCGGATGGTTATCGCGAGAGCGCGAGAGCCCACACCAGGAGAGGGGTGGATGGCGTGGCTGGTCGACCAACCACGCCACCTACCCCTCTCTGCCGCCCCTGGTCACGCCACGATTTGCGCCGGTGCCGTCCCGGAGTCAGCGAGCCCGATCGGCATTCCAAGCCAGAGGCCTTGGAAACCCAAGTGCGAATCCTGTTTTTGTCTCTCGCGATACCACCCATATGACCAGCCACGCCGCCCACCTCTCTCTCTGCCCCCCCTTGGTCGCGCCACTAGTCGCGCCGGCGCCGTCCCGGAACCAGCCACGCCTGGCAGCATTCCAGGCTGGCTCTGGCGCACATCGTGACGTCACCGGCCCCGTCCCTCCCCTGGCCCACCCCCCTCTGTGCCACGCCAGGGGATGAAAACAAAGGCTCCACATAGCACCGTCCAAACCGTCCCCGTACCCACGGGCGCGGCCTCGGCCCAAGTGGCCGCTGCACCAACTTTGATGGGGACGTTTACAACGCACTGGGGATATCGTGGGGTTTATCCCCATCTTGGGGGGTGGTCTGGCGGGTGGAGGTACCTTGGCCCAGTGGTGGCGGGGATCGGATGGAAAGTGTTGGTCTGCCGACCTCGTGGGCGAAAAGCGTATGCGTATCCGCGGCTTCGCGGGCGAGGCCTTTTGGGCCGAACCCCGTCGGATACGGGGTGTTTTGTTCGCGGGTGCCCCGCGCGTAACGTATCCGTATAATGTCAGCTTGTGATTAACAAAAAGATGTGGGGGGGCGCGATTAAAACTAATGGTTCCTTTGCTCGGGCGAATCGCGGGTGGAACGCTCGCCTGCTTGAAACGCACGGCGGCTGCGCTAGTGATTCGCGCCGACGCCTGGGCGACTGCAAAGAGGGCGACAGGCGCAACGCAAACGATGCCGCTTCAGCGGAAGGGGACAGCATCGCCTCCGATATAGCGGGGCGGTTGGGTCCAAATGGGTACGGACACGAGAGCAACAGGCGGCGGGGGAAGGGACGCCTCGGCTGGCGGGCGGTGCCGACAAGGCTGCAAACAAGAAGGGGGAGCGAGAGGGAGGAACGCAAGAGGCAGGCGGAAACGGCTCCTCCTTTTCGCTCTCCATGCCCCCACCCCCTCCTCTACAGCCTCCTACAACGACGACGACGGCGACGACGACGACGGCGGCGACGTACCGACGACGACAAAAACGACGTCGACGTCGACTGTGACGGCGAACGATGACGTACTGCGGATGCTCCATGGAAAGGGGGGCGGGGGCGATGCGCACGTCCGCCGCAGGTCGTCGTCGACGACGACGACGACGACGACGACGACGACGACTGCGGCGACGACGACGACGAGGACGGACGACGACGGACTACGACGCACTGCGGATGCCCTGGCTGCAGCCGACGACAAAAACGACGACGGCGACGACGAGGACGAGGACGGGGACGACGCCGACGCACTGCGGATGCCCTCAGGAGGGACAGGGGAGGCTGCGTAGTCGACGACGACAACGACGACGACAACGACGACGACGACGAAGACGACGACGACGACGATTACAACGCGACGACTGCGGCGACGACGACGACGTCGATGACAACGACGCCGACGGCGACGGCGAGTGTGATGGCGACGACGACGAAGACGAGGACGAGGACGAGGACGAGAACGATGACGAAAACGAGGACGAAGACGAGGCCGAAGACGACTACACAAACAACGCCTTGACAACGACGGGGGCGACGACAACGCCCTGCGGATGCCCCCAGGCGGGTGAGACCCGGCCCGCTGTAGCCGACGACGACGATGAGAACGACGACGGCGACGACGACGACTGTGGCATGTCAGTGATCAGCCTGAAAGGAAGAAACACTTCTCCTCGGGTGTATACGATCCCTGAAACAACTTCTATACTAAGGGCATTCGTTTTGAGGCTGCCGTGCATTGGGGTACACGACCCCCGCCCGCGACGACCCCCTGGCGCACAATTAAAAATTTGCTTCGCGCCCCGCGGGAACTGTTCATCACGCCGGGGAGGGGAGGGTCATTTGCTAACCACACGATGAAAGTACGACCGCGTATCCGCAGGATCGCGCGCAGGAATCCACACAGCGACCCGAAAACCTCCACGACGGCCAAGAGCTGGAGGGGGCCAGCGGCCCGAGCTCAAACCGGCCGGCCCAGACCCCTCCCAAGGCCCACGTGGCGCAGATTTTCATCACAGACCCGCTTCTCAGGCTTCCCAGCGGGGCCCGAAAACGGCCCCCTGACAAAAAGAATTATTCACTGCGTGGGGATCCCCATATGTGCATCTCCTTGCTGGCGCTCCCTTGGTGGTGGGACTCGGTGAGGACGAATCTGGATTTAAGTGTGACTGAGCTGCCTCTCTCTCTCTCTCTCTGCTCTCTCTCTCTCTCTCTCTCTGCCCTCTCTCTGTCTCTGCCTCTCTTTCCCTGCCTCTCTCTCTCTCTCTGCCCCTCTCTCTGCCTCTCTCTCTCTGCCTCTCTCTCTCTCTCTGCCTCTCTCTCTGTGCCTCTCTCTCTGCCTCTATCTCTGCCTCTCTCTCTCTCTCTCCTCTCTCTCTTCTCTCTATTCTCTCTCTGCTCTCTCCTCTCTCTCTCACTCTCCCTCTCTCTCTCTCTCGCTCTCTCTCTTCTCTTCTCTTCTCTTCTCTCTCTCTCTCTATCTCTCTCTCTCTCTTTCTCTCTCTATCTCTCTCTCTCTCTCTCTCTCTCTCTCTCTCTCTCTCTCTCTCTCTCTCTCTCTTTCGCTCTCTCGCTCTCTCTTGCTCTCTCTCGCTCTCTGTCGCTCTCTCTCGCTCTCTCTCTCTCTCTCTCTCTCTCTCGCTCTCACTCGCTCTCTCTCGCTCTCTCTCGCTCTCCCTCGCTCTCTCCCGCTCTCTCTCTCTCTCTCTCTGCTCTCTCTCTCTCTCGTCTCTCGCTCTCTCTCTCTCTCTCTATCTCTCTCTTCTCTTCTCTTCGCTCTCTCTCTCTCTCTCTCTCTCTCTCTTTCTCTCTCTCTCTCTCTCTCTCTCTCTCTCTTCTCTCTCTCTCTCTCTCTCTCTCTCTCTCTCTCCCCCCCCCTCTCTCTCCACTTTCTCTCTCTCTCTCTCTCTCTCTCTCTCACCTAGACCGTCTGATCCAAAACCTAGACTCAGAGCTGGCGCGACGTGCAAACCGAGCCAAAGCTGAACGCATCAAGATCTGGGCTGAGGGTGTCCGCGAG